CTTTCTTTCAAAATCCATATGGATTATTTAAATTATTTTTATTCTTTTAAAAAAAATGGGAAGGGGGGGGATTTCCTAAGGGAATTTCCTTGCCCAATCTCAAAAAAAAAAAAAAAAAAATTCGAATTTGGAACCATATTTTTTATTACGATTTCCGAAGCTCTAATTTCTGATTTTTTTTTGAATTTATTTGGAATGTAAATATATTAGAATGGTATATAAAATTATTGGAAGTTCCAAATTTCCGACTCGATCTTAGTTCATAACTTTTCTATGGTTTTTTGAAATGTATAATTTTACGATATATTTTGCAATTTCATAATATAACTTATGTTATTTTTCATGTGAAAAAATATAAATACCGAGGGGTGAAGTAAACTAAAACCTTATAAAAGTTTAATTGGTATTAGAAACTTTACGTTACATTTATAAGAAAATCTATGTTTCAATTTGTTGTTCCTACATGTGTTTTTATTTATTACGTTTTTGTCGAACACTCTTTTGGATTTCTTGCATTTTTCTTGCGAAAATTCAGAAAAATATTATGAAAATTTATATTATATACGACTTTAGAACAATAGATTATAAACTAATTTGATTTCTGATATTTCCAAAATTTCGTCGATTCCGAGGCATTCTGAAATCGGAATGAATTTTTGCACTCCGGTTTTCTTGGAACGAAAATTGAAACTCATTTTTTACTTTAGAAAAATATTGATTTTTTTTCGAAAAACCCATTTCAGATCCATTCCCTTTGATTTTCACCTCTATATATACTTGCATATGTGTGTATAAATATAATTAAAAAAAATATAAAAGAAATGAATCATTATGGCATTCTTTAATATGAAAAGAAAAGGAAGAATTGGGTATAGGCGCTGTCATTGCAAAAGTGACAAGCTTTACAATGGGACCATTTTTATTTTAAGGCTTAATATTTAATTAATTATTTTTTTTGGGGGCAACAGTTGTCTGATTTTGTCGGTTTATGGGACAGCCCAGAATTTAGTTACACATGTTTTTGGTAATATAATTGATTTCATCATGTATAATATATGCTTGACAGGGAAGACTAAACTAATTTCTTTCTACAGCTAATCCTGTACAAAAGCAGTATAATTAAAAAATAATTAAATGACTATATTAGTTATGTTATAATATTTAATACTCGTAAAATTCGAT